GCGTGGCAGCCATTGGAGATCGCCTCTGAGAGAGCTGAGGCGGTCTGATAAATGTTGTCGCAACAAATTCATTGAGTCTCGTGCTGTGTGTGTTGTGGCTCCATCTTGCTGAAACCACATGTTCCTAACGTTCATTTCTTCGAGTCTTAGAATAAAAAATTCCTCGATCATGTTCCTGTAACGAGCTCCATTAACGGTAACTGCGCATTTGTTTTCTTCAAAAAAATAAGGACCAATTATTCCCATTACCAACATCGCACACCAGACAGTAACTCGCTCACAGTTAAGTGGCTTCTGGTGAAGCTCCCATGGATTTACACCACACCAATAACGCAGGTTTTGCTTGCTGACGCAGCCGGAAATGTGGAAGTGAGCCTCGTCACTGAAAAAAAAGACCGCGTCTTCAGGCAGGTTGTCAACCAGCATTTCAAATGCATTTTGACGGGCAACAAAATCGCGTTCAGTTAATTCTTGCACAACAGCAAATTTATTTGAGAAACTTTGAGAAACAAACTTGGGAATTTTCCCCTTCAGATGCACCCCTTCTCGCCCCTCTACCCGACCAACTAACCGCACAGGAATTTTTTCAAAAAAGTAAGTTTCGCTGGCGCACCCTGTAGTAGGCATCTAAACAACTCTTATCTTAGCAAGTATTATCTTCACACGGCACTCCGGCCGTGTAATAATAATTCACACGGCCATAATAATTCTGCATTTATTTTCAATATATTGGAGCAGGGGCAGGGTGGCCCAGATGGTTACAGTTCAGAGTACCAGAATTGGAGCAGAGAGTCGCGGGTTCGATCCCAGTGCAATGTGACAGTTTCTGGTCAGGATCGGCAAGGAGGCCAATTGCGGTTAAGCAAAACAAAATTGAGGTTTTTATTTGCGTGGTCGAAACCGCAACAAGCTGTGAATATTCTGGACTCATCATTATTATCTGTCACCGCCTTATCGCCCTACTGGAGTAGGGAGCTGGCGCGGATGTAGTATACCTGGACTTTGCTAAAGGAGGGTCAGGCTCTTTAATACCTTGCCAAAAGCGCTGAGAGGAGGGGAGTTTACCCTTGCAACATTCAAGAGACGACTGGACAAGTGGATGAGAAAGATCCCGGATTGTCCAGTAATGGGAAACCACCCTCAGCAAGTGACAAGCAACAGCATCTTGCATCAGCTGGCCCAAAGGAGGGCAAATAGACGGAACACGTCCAACGTTACATCCGACGACGACTCGGAGACGGAGGACGACGAAGGCGGCGCATCAGCGTGACCGGGGACTACGAAGCCCTAAACTCATCATAAGATCATATTATTACTCATAATATTAATGCTATATTATTATCAATTAGCTCTTTCCCCTCCCTTTTTTAACAAAAATTGGACATAGCCTCTCGATGTACCAACGTCAACCAATTGGGCGTTCATCTTTGATGCATCGAAATCAATTGAGAATGTCCCTGNATTACATCAATTGAGCATTTCCCTGTGATGCATTACATCAATTGAGCATTTCCCTGTGATGCATTACATCAATTGAGCATTTCCCTGTGATGCATTACATCAATTGAGCATTTCCCTGTGATGCATTACATCAATTGAGCATTTCCCTGTGATGCATTACATCAATTGAGCATTTCCCTGTGATGCATTACATCAATTGAGCATTTCCCTGTGATGCATTACATCAATTGAGCATTTCCCTGTGATGCATTACATCAATTCAGTATTCCCCATCATTTTAATACATTAAATTTGATGAACGGTGTTAACACCTATCGCTAATTTATGAACGTTATTTCCACTAGAACTAAATACAAGTCTTCCTGTGGTTTTGTGGTGTTAATAGATTTGAAAAGTATTAAGTCTGATTATAAATTCAGGTATAGAACTTGATTTCATTTATTCAAGTATTTATAAATCTTCAGGATTAAATTTTATTATAAATATGGCATATTTTAACTAATCAGACTTATTTAATGAATTTTCAACATTTTCAGCATTTAAAATTTACAAACGCAGAATTTTTAAGAAATTTAACCTCTTTGTTAAATTTGCTTTGTAAAATTTTTTGAAGATACAGGTAATTTTTTGGAATAAATGAGGTCTTTGGCGTCAAAAACGGATTATAATGGTACGCTCTCAATTAGAGAGATAAATCAGTCATTAATTAAGGTGAACCGGCAGTACAGTGTGCGGTGACGCGGTCAGTTGCCCGCGGTGGCTGGTGGGGTGAGCATGTCATGTGTGTCGCTCATCAATTAATTTTATGTGTCATATTGCCGAATAGAAATATTACTTTTTCAGACTGCAATTGATAAATTTAATTCAATTTCGTTTCTGACAAGTGGAGTGTGAAAGTTCGTACACCAAAAAAGTGAAGTTTTCACTATCAAACGATAGTGGTAGTAGAATATAATATTAATCGCAATGTTCGAAAATTATCGAAATAATAAAAATGTTATATAAATAAATTACCAACGTTATCCTGTAAGGCACATTTTTTAAATATAATAATTTTCAAGTATATTGTTCCAATGTTAGCTAAATTATATTGTTAAACTTCAGAAGTTTTACAACGTATCGCCTTCAGAGCTTCTATGTTTGCCGCGTGAATGTAAGTCAAAAGTTAACAATTAACCGATTTAATCCACTCTTATACTAGGAATTAAAACGTCTCCCGTAAAAATATGAAAATCGCGAATTACGTATCAATATTCCAGTATAATAATGAGCATGCATCGCGCACAAAATTACAGTCTATATTTTTGTTCCTATATTTCAGTCATTTTAAAACATCGGTTTTTAAAATAATAATTCAAATACTTCAATAAATAAATATTGAATTGTCCTTGAATGTTATTCCTCACATTCCCCACCATTCAAGTGTTGTATTTACAGCAATAATGTAGAAATATTTAATTTCGTTCGATGTGATCGTCATTAG